CCGCCATAATTCATCTTGAACAAATGTCAAGCCTCGTAAATAGGCACCTATGTATGAGCCATCTTTCTGTTTAAACACGTGTCCACCTAGATCTTCCCAATCTAGTGCATGGTCTGTATGATAAGGTTCCAATTCACTTGTTAGCATAGGAGCAGAATTAGAACTAATGTTCTTCACTTCTACTATGGCAAGTACACCTCCACTCCCCGCCCAACATCATGGAATTCCAGGGCATTTCTTCCAAAGACAAGAGCTCCTGGCTGGGAGAGCAGAACAAGGTGTCATTTAAAGCAACATTGAACATGAGTTAAGCATAGTTTAATGTTATTAATACAAATTATATTAAACCTAATGGTATAAGGATGGGAGTACAGCTTCCCCCTACTCACTAGACTGTAATCTAATAGCTCAGTTCTGCAGTCCCTATTTATATGAAGATTTCTACTGAAATAAAAAAGACTATTCATGTTAATCAAGACTGCAGAATCAGACCCTAAGTGCCATGAAAAGGCTAACAATAATGACCTTTAGGCTGGGCACTTCCTCTAATTTCTTAATAGTTTGTACTGTTAACTTTTCCAACTGGTCATCAAAGTCTGTTTGCACTGTACCAGTAATCATGTACATTTTCGGTGCCTGGTTTTAATTATTTTATACTGTATTTTATAATATCCTATTCCAATATCCTATTCTGGACCTTCTTTTTTGCTTTCCCTTAGGCGATGTCTAGACTACCGGCTTCTTTCTGAAGAAGCTTTTTTCGGACAAGATCTGCCGAAAAAGCTTCTTCTGAAAGAGAGCGCCTACACTGTAAACGTGCATTGAAAAAGCGGTCTGCTTTTTTGAAAGAGAGTGTAGACTCTCTCGCATGTAAACTGTGATTGCTATGGACAGAATGGCCACCAGGGCACCTGTACTTTTCCTCTTTCCTCTTCTTCCAAAAGAACTCCCTCTTCCCCGTGCACAAAAGCTTTTGCAAAAAGGCTTCTTCCTCATAATGAGGATTACCAATGCCAGAAAAAACCCTCTGTTCTTTCGATTTTCTTGCGGAAGACCCCAAATGCAGTTTGCACTTTCCTCAAGTTTTGTCAGAAAAATGTTCGTTTTTCCGACAAAACTCTGTAGTGTTGACATACCGTAAGGCTATGTCTACACTACAAGGTTTTTGCGCAAAACCAGCCATTTCTGCGCAACTGGTAGAGTGTTTTTGCGCAAGTAAATCGTCAGAACAGAGGGCTTTTGCTGGTAGAGTTATTCCTCTCTCCATGAAGAATAACTCCTTTTTGCGCTACAGCTCTTGTGCAAAAAGGCAGGTGTGGACGCTCCAGAGGGGTTTCTGCACAAGAAATCCCTATCAGCAAAAGCACAGGTGCTCTGATGACCAATCTGTGAATGGCAATCAGAGCTTTCTTACACAAGAGTGTCCATGCAGTCTGGACACTCTCTTGCGCAAAAGCACATTGCTTTTGCGATGCGCTTTGAGGTGTGGACGCACTTTTGCGCAACAAGTTTTTGCGGAATATCTCTTCCGCAAAAGGCTTCTTACGCAAAAAACCCTGCAGTGTAGACAAAGCCTTAAAATGTAGTTCTACTTTGAAAAGTGGCTGTAAAAAGTGGTATCTGAGAGTAACAGCTTTGTTTTCTCTATTAATTTTTCCAAAGTTTACAAGTAAAATGATATTTTTCTAACTGCTAGCTCCAAAAACTCATCCTAAGATCAGAGAGTCAAACTATTTTTTCTGGCTCTTGCATCATCACTTGTGGTAAAGATTCTACGTTGTTATACTTGTACAACTGAATACAATTGGGTTGCACAAGTGTAACTGGTTGCAGAATTTGACCCTGCAGCTATAACTTAACAAATCTGTTAATAGTGGGTAAATCAGAATAGAATCCGAGTCATGTTCCTATAGACATTTCAGTTCTCAGGTTAAACAAAAATATTACATAAAATACATGTTCTCATTACATAATAAGGCAACAAGTATAACTCTTAATGAACACAGGGATCAGATCACTTGGATGGGGAAGGGTCATTTTTAGTCACTTTTCTGACCATAACCACACTTAGACTTTATAATAACCTCCCAAGTGCCCTCTGTGGTTCCTGCTCTTTTCAGATCTCTCCTTATAATCCATTCCTCCCACAATCTTTTCTTGGCTGGGCTTCTCACCAGAGATCCCTTCCCAATCTCATGCACCCAAAGTGTGATTTTGTAGGGCATGGGAACAGAATTATTTCATTGCAGATTCATTTTAAGGCAGTTCTAAAAGTCTCACCTGGTTGCAGGACAGGGTTTTCTTTTGTGTGTGTTTGAACTAGATTCCTACAATTTTCCTAAAACACTTCTACAGAGGTAGGTCTGATCCAGTCCAGCAGAGCTAAGCACGGTCACATTTTAGAGGTGCCAAGAACCAGCTCTAGACGTGAGTGTTTCCAGCTTGGGGCTCGGGGCTAATTACATGTTAATCTCCCCACATTTCCAATCCTGTCCCCTCTGGGAAACCACCTCTGTGTTCGGGACAGAGTGCGTCGGGGCAGGGACCGTCCCTGGCTCTCTAAAGCCCCTGTGAGGTGAATGGATTTACACTAGTGCCCAGGGGCGCACTGTTAGAGGAGCCCGTGTGACGCTGCACGGATGAGGCCGGAACACCACTGACATTTGTATTTGTTCAGCAATAGGGCCCCCTTGGCGGCTGAGGCTCGACGCCCCCTGATATGGAAGAGGGCAGGAGCTCACCCTGCTCAAGAGTGGGGTTGCCTGGCCCTGGCCAGCTCTGTGGGGGCGCATGGGGCGATGGTGGAGACGGGGCAGCTGCCCACGAGGTGGGGGGCTGGCTACAGTTGGGACGTGAGAAGGGCGCCCGGCTACTGGGGCCAGTTGCCGTCGGTCTGCTCTCGCGCTGGCCGTTGGGCTCAGGCCCGGCCGTTAGCCGCGGGGGAGTCCCCGGAACGGCCTCCCGCTCAGCTCGCGGGAAAAGGGAGGAGGGGAGGGAATCCCTCTCGCGCGCGCGGCGTGTCTTTTGTGTTTGTACACACACAGCCCGGCTGAGAGGCGGACTGCGGGGAGAGGAGGAAAGGAGGGAGAGGGGGCGTAGCGGAACCTTCCCTCCATTGTGCACCATTGGCCGCTCGGCGG